ATTAAGAATAAAAAAAAAAAAAAAAAAAATTGCTTTGGAAAATACGGAAGTGAAATTGTTTCAATTTCAAATAAATAGCCACTACAACCAACCCAAGTATCCCATCGTTTATAATGAATAATTAATTAGTTTACATGAATTGCGCCATTATCTGATCCAAAGATTGGAAATCGCAATGTCAGCTCATAACTTGCCCAAAATCGAAGGAATTTTCGAGAATATGGAGTATTTCTGTAAATTAGTAAATTCAGAGAGAAAAACTGGTACTGAAAATTTCCAGTAGATAGGGTTGTACGGAATCCTGCGATAAGACTAAAACTAAAATATTTCAAGCAATGATTTAATGATCCGTAATAGAGTCAAATTTTTTCAGTTAAGGTGACTGTTTCATCAAGTGACCATAAAGTGATTTTAAAAATATTGCCAACATATTATGAAGTGGATAAGTATTTTAGGCTTAGCAGAAAAAAACTTATGAATAAACAAATTCAGGATAGTATTACTGAAGCATACAGATACTTTCTAAATTCCAAGAAAAAAAATTAAATATGATAAGAATGTAAAACGTGATTACAACTAACTTTGCTAAATAACTTCCAGCCATTACTTCGTGGTTGAAAATTCGATTGTATAAGATGAGATTTACATTATTATCAATCCATTCTTCGATCAAATGATTTGGATTGATAACTCCCATATCAGCATCGATAAATAGGAACCATTGGATATCGTTTGCTCCCTTCATTATTTCTGCTGTGACACAATGCCGGGCAAACATAAACTGAAATTATTATCAGGTCCATTATCATAACTTATTTAAGGATGCTTCATCATTCCTAACACTAAAACTCATGGATTATTCAATTTGCATAATCTAATGCATATTTGGTAGCAGGGAATTTGTCTCCTCAATCGATATTCAGAAATTAACTAACCAGTAGGAATTAAACAAATCGGACAAAAGAAGAAACGGTAAAAGGGTGATAAAAAACAAAACGAAAAAGTATGTCCACTTCTTGCTTCCAACCGTCCTCCTTTCCCTTTAACCTTTCTTGTTCCCGTCCTTTTTTTCCCTCGTAACAATCATTGTAGATATCCTGGATTTGTTCTTACCAAATGGTCACTTAATGGATAGCTGGCTTTTTCTCAATATTTTTGCTTTTTTGGTATTTTTGATTTAGTTATTTGTCATTAACAATAACAGGTTGGTGTAGCTAATTATCATTCCTGTCCTCTGTGCCAAATATAAGCCATAAGTTGGTGTAACTAAAGGTATGGGCCAAGTAAGAAGTTCAATAAATCACCGAGCAAGAACAAAGTCCAACTACAATTATTACTACTGATATGTTTCATTTGGCATTCTAAATTAACATTTCAATGTCTCACAAGCTAACTTTGACTCTTCTCTTCTTTCAAACTTCTGATCTCTTCCTTCTCCCTTTTTCAGGTTTATCGTTACTACTACTGATAACCCTATTAGCATACTACATATTACTAATTGGTATTTATTATTCAATGAACATATCACTGAAAAACTACTTAGTATTACTTCCAATGATATGAACTGTTATCAGTAATATTTTAAAAGAAGTAAAGAATTACATCTCTATGAGGACATAACTTTCGTAGTGTAACATTAGCCGATAAATCAATAACAATCCATTTGTAATTGTGATATAAAGCATAACATTGGAAGCTTTCTTGAGCTAAACGATATTCGTCGTAATTACTGCGATTCAATAAAACAGTAATTATCGCTATCGAAACCAACTTTTGATCTGAAATTTCACTTTGCAACAATTTGATTTCAAATCTTTTTATCATTAGGAATACGTTAAATCAATATATGGAACTATCTGTTATTTTTAAATATCATTGATAATTAATGAAACAGTTATAATACTATCATGATAATATGGGTGGGACTTAAAATCTTGCAAAGATTGACTTTTTCAGTTTGCATTCCAAGGATCTGAAACTATTTTTTTTTTTCTCTAGAATTCAATGACATAGACGAAGAATGTCTCGTATGATAAAAGCAGAAGTCCTACTTCCGATTCCGGAATAATTCCTTTCCGGAGGATGGGAAGATTTTTGGAAATAAAAATTATTTTTTCTAGAGGTTTAAATTGCTTTTACTTTCCTTCCTTCCTATTTCTCTTGATGATTAAACTATCATCGTAAAAGTGCTAGATTCAACAGTCCTTTGCAATTTCAAAAGAATGACTGTACATATACATCAGAGAATGTGCAAGTTTTCTAAGTTTTAATGATTTGTCTTTTTTAAAAAAATCTCAATCACTACTACTTTGGAAATGTCATCGTTTAAATTCATATCAAAAAAGGAAAAAAAAAAAAAAGAAAAGAGAAGAAGAATGGGAAAATCATTTACCTTCAGATCTTCTAGCAGTAATATTACGTATAATTGTAGTACTATAATAATTCTTGTATAGATAGTAAATGGTCACATAAACTTCTTTGTAAATGACCAATGCAAGAATGAGTGCAATGAAGAGAATGACCCATAGCCTACTTCGCCTTCGCATTCGATGACAGCAGTTAGTTCTATAAATTAATGTGTGAAAAACAATGCTCTTTTTCTTCACCGATGGCTAGCCTTCGTTTTGAGACCTTAAGAAATTTTTAAAAATTTCTAAATTTTTACTTTTAACTAAATCAAAGCTTAATATATCAGATATGAAATTTTTTGAAATAAAAGAAATTTTCTTCCCTTTTGAGAATTCATTGAGATAACTTTGATAGTATCAAGTTAACGTTTATTTTTACAAAAGTCAAAGTTCAATACACCAAAATTTTATTGATAGATACATACAAAATAAGAACATATGAAAAGTAGTAATTCGTATTATATTTATGAGTTGATTGTTGAATTCTCTTAATCCTATTTTGGTTTGCTCATGACCCCGTTCAACTATGATATCAATCGATTGCTTTGTTGACCTTTTTATTGCTTGTTTTGCTGACTAATCATTCTTGTTTATCGACTACTCTGTTGAATGCTATGAATCACTTTCCTTAATGTTGTTATCGTCGGTGAATCAGATGCCCAATATCTTCTTTCAGGGAATTTTTTTTACCCATTCTTTTTCATTTCTCTTACAATTCTGGGTAAATGTAAATGAGTTTCCAGCGGGAAGTGCTACATTTATGATTCATTTGAATCATTTGGGTTTTAAATTGAAAACTTTTAGACAAACTCTCGATTCCTTCTTTACCCATTCTTTCAAATTTTTTAAAATGGAAATTTCAAATTTTTCCGAAAAAACGAAAATTTTCAAAAAAACGGAAATGTCGCGAAAGTCG